AGATACATAGGTAGAGGTTGTGTTGACTGTATGTATGTAGTGGTTGTGACTTTTGTAGAGGGTGTAAAATAGATTTTCTGCAATACTTTTCTGGCTGATGCCACGGATTTTTTGACTCTGACAAGTCGTATTATCCCTCTGTTGTAACTATCTTCCATTCAAAAAAGAGTCCTGTTCGTCTAAAAGTGTATTCCACTTGGTCTGTAGATCCATGATCATCTGACGAGCATCAGAAAAAATAAGCCTCAGCTGCTTGAGTGTCCTCTTATGAATCTCCTGTTGTTTGCGTAGTGTATCCTCCATTTTTGCCGTACGTCATAAAGCTGAATCTGCAAATTGTCATAATTTTTCTGCAGATCAGCCAGTTCAATTTTGAATTTCACTATCATTTTATTCCAAATTTTCACTACTCACCTTGTCTTTTTCAGCTGGTTTTCTAATTTCAAACACTGCTGTTTAATATCTCATGCAGGGTTTTTTCAACCTCAAAACTCTTGCCTTTTGAATCCTGGATGAGCCCTTTAAGCTGTTATGCTTACCAGTAACAATTTAAGCACATTACTGTGCAAAACAAAACCAAGATTGATCAGCAGAAGTAAACAAAAGTAATTAGCTCAATGTTAAAATCTTGACTAAACTACTATTTTTTCATCAACAACAACACCTAGCAACACATAGCAACTTTTTTCATCACGTGGCAATTGATACGTTCCACAATTTTTAATCATGTACCCAACAATATCCATAAATTTTAGATTGAACTTCAAAAAACACCAAACTATCTATTTAATTCTGATTTATCTTGTTATTTAAAACGTTATCTCAGTATACAAGACTTGTTAGTTGCGAAAACGTAGTGTGCTGAACATAATCGATAAGAGTGGAGGCGATTGCAATAGTGCTGGTAAAACATTTTTATTTTTAATGACCGAGATAAGAGTGGGCAGCGATGGTTTTGTAGAAGCGTCTTGTTTGCTTAACTGACAAAAGAGAGAGACTGGCAACCCTCACAGTCTACGGTAAACCGTTTGAAGACGACTAGAAATTAAGACGAGAAGATACTTAAACTATGACAACCACACTCCTTGATTAAAAACTGAAGAGATTTTCTAGTGTTCTTTTTAAGAAATTATAAGTGTGTCCATAAATTAATTAATGACAGTACCCGCCTACAGGTAGACAGCTCACTTTACCATTGATCCTGCAGCATCTGCTTATACTTAAGGAGATATATATTCCCTGAGGTCTCTTACCCTGCACCTGACCTGAAAGATTAGGGAAATCGATCTAACTGTGACAAAGCAGGATGTTGGAGTCACACTGAGGGGTTGCTTCGGTGATGTGGGAGGGGGGATGACATGCTTGTACGGCTGTCAACCAGCTCTGTTACTGGTAATCGAAAAGCCTAAATTGATGCTTAATGGATTGATCCTCGATAAGAGGAACCATGCAAGGCTGAGCTTAATAGAATTCAGAATATGGCCCAAATTTCCGGTTAAGCACTGTCTCAGATGCTAGGGCTTTGGGTACATTGCAAAGTACAGAACTGGAGCGTGCTGGTGTGATCACCCATAATCTGTTGGAACATTACTCATGTGATAGGGGTGTGGACTTGCTTTTTATAAATAAGCCACCCTGTGCTTTACCACATTAAAGCTGTTACAGTGACAGGACTGTATATGTTACCATCCTGGTCTACAGCAATAAGTTCTCCATATCCAATACTGAAAGCCATGATTGGTTTATGTAGATCAGGTGTGAATGTTAAACCTGCGTTATTTGCGATTTATGTCCCAACATAGTAATTGACTTCTTGAGATAGCAGCCATTGATCAGGGAGAGCCAAGAAGTGACTTTAAAAAGAGGGTGATGCTGAAGATGGCTGCAATTCTAGACTCCATCGTCATGAATTCTGGAATTTTAGCAACGTTCATTCACCTTGCGCTGGTGTCATTACAAATAGTGGCACGAGTGTTAAGCTAGCAAGTTCTGAAGGATGACATGGTTTGTTATCATTAGTATGTCAGCCTCATATTGAATGGAGGTCGTTTTTTTCAGAGGAAGATTGATGCATGTATGCCCAACATGACCACCAGACGAAGTCAGCGTTCATGCTGTTAATGGCTTAAGAAATTACCAACCTGCGTGGAGAGGCGCAGTGCTTGAATAAATTCTTGTATAAACTTATAACTGAGATAAATAAAAATACATGAGGCTGGGGTAACCTACTCGTGACAAGAAGACTGCGTGGCTTGGATCCAGTAGCATCGATGGAAGCTTCCTTCTTAAAGAGGGTGATCTCTTTCCTCTTTCCAAAGCATCTTAAGAGGAGATGAGATTATATAAGGTATGCCAGGTGCCTTTCTTTAACTTTTACACACTGAGGTTTGTGGTTTTAGAGACGCTGGGTCGGAAGTCCCCTAGTCCAGATGGGATGCTATCCATAATCCTGAAAGTCACAGCTGCCAAAAAGCGACACGTTTTTTGGACATATTAAATAGTTGACTGTAAGTGAGATTGTTTAGCGATCACTGAAAGATTCAAGGATTTGTCCATTTGAATAAGTTAAACCCCGCCCCCCCCTATTTTCGTCATTACTCTGACCATTGTGCATTCTGGACAATCCCAAAAAAATGTTCGAAAGGCTGATACGAACTCACTTTCAACTCAAGAGGGACGGTCAGTCCCTCAGACAAACAGACAGTCACATCTAGTTTTGTATGGGGCATTTTACGGTTAAGGCTAAGGCTTAGGTTTTCGAGTTGGTGAATGAAGCATGGAAATCCTCATATAAGATAAGGAGCGTGTGTATTATAGTGACTCTCAACATCAATAGTTGCTTTAACTTGGCCAAATGGTCAAAAAAAATAAGGGTTTTAAAGTGCTGAAACGTGCTAGACTACCTTGAAAATAAACTGGACACCTATCTCCAGGATAAAGTACTCTGGTACGATATGAATAACAAACTAAGAGAGAGAAAGATGACTGATATATTTTGATCAATATTTTAGTAATTGAGCTATTTTTTTGTTTTTCTGGTAAGACTTGCATCTAGATCAGGTCTTTGATTTCTGAACGATTACAGGTGCTGAGGTTAGGGGGTGGCTTGACTAATGGCTAGCGTAATCGTTGTTCGGATGTTTCTCAGGATACTTTGTGTCAACCGTTATTATTCTCAATGTACATAAATGATTTTTCCTAGGCTAAACGTCATGCATCTGCCATTAGTGTACTGATTATTTTGTTCTTAAGTTTTCTGCCCCGGTAAGCCAAGTTTGCCATATTGATAATATTATGAATTTGAATTTGGGTCGTGTTGCGGGTTAGGTAAATAACAATTGCTTGAAACCTAGCTTGCGTAAGTGTTCCACTATGTGGTTTGTGTCTAGAAAAAATGTGAATATTATTTATGTTAAAGCTGTCATACCCCATCTCTTAGTAATGAATTAATACAGGTTAGTCACACTATGAGGCTGCTCGGAGTAGCTTTTGACTCCACCATTTCTCTCGAAAAAATTATGCTGCCTTCGTGAAACTTCGAAGATGCCGTGATGCTTTGCCTCACTCAGTTCGATTTAATACGGTTAACACCCTAGTGTTCCCATTTTTTGACTCCTGCTTTAGTACAGCGTTGGATTTATTAGGTGTACTTATTTCTAAGTTTTCGTGCTGCAGAAATGCCAAGTTCAGATTCACCTCTAATCTTAGTTTGTCTGAATATATCAACCCTACGTTCAGGACATTACGCACTCAGCCTTTTACTGAGCGATGACTATATCCTTATTTGTGTCTTCAGTCCTCTGTCTTCAGGCACGGGAGACTAGAGTATCTTTCGATGCAACTCGAATTCAGGAATGTCGTTCTCAGTTAAATTTCACGATCACATTTCAAGACAAACATGCAATACGCAGAATAACTAATACAAAGAACTGTGAGTACCGCATCCAACGCCACTTGTACATGAAAGACTATTGATTGGCAACATTATGGTTAAAAAAAAATACTTCTAGAGTTGAAGAGAAAAATAACTCGATAAAAAATGTGATTGATTACTAGAACAAAAATTCTAACATTAACATTTTTTGTCATTACAACGTTACTTACAATTGCACATCAATATTAAAATTTACATAATTTAAAAAATTTTATAAGACCGTTTTAGCAGAACCTAATTTTTTTAAACACTTACGTTAGAGTATTATTATTTTAGTTCTTATGCAGCTAATAAAAATATAGCAGTGTTTCTTAAATTACCAATATTCAAATCTATACTTATGTCGTGTACTGCATGGTTCACGGAATAGAAGTTACAGTCTCGTAATCCTTACTTTTTTCTATAAAATCGTTGCAAAAAAAAAGAATTTCATTTAATATCCTTTAAGAAAACGAGTCCATTTGATCCCTGTTTTTTTCTGTTGAAAAATTGACTTTGTATTATTAATTTATTCATAAGTTTTTTTAACTGTAAGAACCAAACTTCCAAGTATTAGTACAATAACACGGATCATTATTTAGTAGAGCCGCTTCAAAAGTATACGCTAAACCAATGGCGACAATCAGAACATATAAGATTGCTTTAATAACACTACGCAGGAAACAAAAACTAGATTGTGATTGAGTCCTCATGTTTGCGTTTAAAATCAATCGGTGTAAAAAAAAACATTCAATTTTTCAGTATCAATTGTCAAATAACCGACATAAAAAAACTTTGAGTTACGTAAATTCAAGTGCATATCCACTTATACAACTTAATTCAGCGTTAAACTTTGTGTTATTTAACTGGGCTGTGCAAGCCCGTATACTTGATTTCAAACTGCTCTAAATTTTGTTACGTGTGTACGTATGAGAATGTTACACAAAAATTAAAAAAAAATCCATATCAGTTATTAAAAATATGCATTTACAAATTATTTTTTGAGTTTAAGAAAAAAATTCAATCGAACTCATGTACAAGTTGCCAGACTGGCACGACTAATCGAATATTTGTTTAATAATTGCAGAATACTTTTGGTGATATCTACATCCCAGAAGAGTTTGATCCACCTATGACAAAAGATATTGGCCAACTGAATAAGAATCATGTACACAACGTATCTTCTAAATTAATTGAGATTCTCGACGCTAAGACAATCAGGATTAAAGAGTTAGTTTACGATGGACTTGGCCAGGATACATACTTTTGGATTGGCCCAGGCACGAGGCCTTCACCAAAAGGAATTAAAGTTCCCGATGAGTACGGCTAGTAAGTCCTGAAGAAAGTTTTAAAGTTCAGTACACATGCATTTCGGTAGTATGAATAATAAATTGTCATCAAGCATATATGATTTTAGCCTAGATCCCTTACATGCTTATAAAAGTGATGACGTGGTAATCCAGTTACCTGGTGGAGTGACGATTTTTGATATTGAGCACTTAAGTATCTACGATGTCAAGACAAAAACAAGTTTTGGCTCCGTTTCTTTTCAAAGAGAAGGACTCAATGTGCCACCGTCTCTTGTTAAAGTATGATATTTCTTTTTTAAAGTTATGTTTTACCATAGACAGACTTATTATTTGGTTTTATTATAAGGACTTTTTATTATCGTGGGATGAAATGAATCAGTTTCATGAACTCACATGACTTCAAATTTTTAAAAATTGATTAAAAAGGGTGATTCTACTACCGTTTTTTTGGTTGTACAGTAACTTCGGCTATTTGTTTGCAAAATAAACATTTTTTCACTTCCTAATTAGAAGTATTTTTTATTTTATATGTTTTAGAAATTAATTTATTAAATAGGACTAGTTTATAGGTTCAGAAAAAAAATATTCTTTTGTAAAACATGTATACATTATAACAACTATAGAACCACTTTGCTTGAGAAAAAGTTCTTTTAAGCTGCACGAAAAAAAGTTCTTTAAATAAAAATAAGTTTAAGTCTTATAAATAAATAGAATGTTTGGAGACGTATAATATTTACTTTAATAATTTAAAGATGGACTTGTATTTTTCTTTAATTTACAACGTAAAGACACTCATCCCACTAGCCTTAATGATACATGATTTCAATTAACTTTCCAACAAAAAAATAGTCTCTCCATTAGAAAAACATTTTTTGATGTCTAACAAGTTTTGTCTACACAGAAAAGCTTTTACTGAGACATGAAAACCAAAAAAATAGTTGTTTGTTAAAAGATAAACTTGTCGGTTCTTTTTCTTCGTAGTAAGTCTGTTTAAACAATTTGCGTTGATAATTACAGATAGTTAGATCTTAAATAATTTTTAAACGTTTTTAAAAGAATCAAGCATCTCTTTCCTAAATTTAATGATTATAAACGCATTACACACATTTAAAAAAAAATGAGCATGTATTGTGTAAATTAGTAAAATATTCCAATACTTGATTAAACGAAGTGGAACCTGTTTCAACGGCTACTATTTCGAGTCCTAGATCTTACATACTTAGTTTTACGTTGTAAAGCATTAAGAAGCCTCCTTTTTTTAATAATGACCAATTATTTTATATTTAAATTATTACTTTCTATACATAAAGGTTTGAAAAAGTGAATACTACAAGAAAAAAAAAAGGTAAGCAAAGATCAACAAATGCATAAACCAGAATTTAATCTTCTGTTACACAAAAAATATCTTCGCACTATCGTTTTATACGCGAATCAATAGTTGGTTGGGGATCAAACCGAATGAAAAGTTAAAAACTAATGAAGTTTAAATTGTAAAAAAGTTTATGCATTCAGCTGAACAGAAGTCAACAAAGTTTTTTTCGTTGAGAAAATACTTTAGGGTAACGCATAATATATTTTACTATACTTCATATTCCTTTGTTACTGGTATTTTTAAAAAGGCTCTGCCACGATTAAATACCTAATAATTGTAAGGAATATAATTTTCATGGATAACCAAAGAAAACTTTTGCTGGACACTTCAAAACCACGTACAATGTTAAAAATTTAAACAGCCTTATTATTTTTTCCAAAAAATTAGTAACGTTCAACTTGGAGGGATTAATCATAAGATTATTATACCCAACTAAAGAACTTACCGATGAAATAGTTGAATAAAATTGAAATAGCGAGCCGTCTAAAAATAGTTGTCTTACGTTTAACAAATACTTTTAGCTTACGTAATTTTAACAGTGGAAACCGTAAGAAAACCATATTTAAAGTAAGTGACAACTACTATTTGAAAGCGGCATAATTGTTTTTCAAAAAGTTATTTGATAAAAGCTGTTCTTTTAGAAATTGTTATCTTCCAATTGGTATAGCTATCAATGAGACCTTTTTCTTTAGTGTTTTACCATTAACATTTTGATTTTTTTAAATTAATGGCATACTTTTATTTAGTAACAGTTGGATTGATTTATAAAAAAATTTGACTATACTCTTCTTCAAACAATTTTAGTATTAACACTACTAAGCTATTATCATATGCTTGCTGGTATCTTAAAATGTATATTGTAATGAAAATTTTTATCCCATTTAGCTAGTAAGTTTCAAAGAAGCAAGGAAACAGCGTGAGCCATTGTAGTTTATTATGAAAAAAGGAAAAATTTTGAAATAGGGACAGAAATGAAAATATCTATACCCTGCTTGTTGAAATTTTTTAATTAATTACTGTAATAACTTGAAAATACTAAAAGTGTAACGGCTATCACCATCAGAAAATATTATTAAAAAGATAATACTCTTATTAAGACGTCGAAAAAGTAAATGTATTTTGAATCACTTTTTAATTGGCTATCTCACATGAACAAGAAACAACTTATGAACAAATCAACAAATTAAATTACTCAGGCTTGTTATAAAATCTTATAAGTTCAGAATCCAGGGTGCACAATGTACACAGTTTAATCTGAATGAATTGTGCCAACCTTTTTTTTAATGCTGGAAGCGCTTAAGGAAATAATTTTTATGATCTTATGCAACTCCTTCATTGTTACCGTCTTCACCCCCTTAATCATGGCACAGCATTATTATTTTATACACCAAAAATACAATGGCCATAGCACTATAATTCAATTTTTTTTACCGGAAATTCGGTTGTTAGCTACGATGTGTGAGAAGAAGAAGGAGTGTAATTATGGTAAAAAAGCAAATTTTTGTTCTTCCACGGATCTGGGCATTTCTGGCAGATTACTCTATGTAAACTGCTCATAACTAGCACGTAATGTTCCTAACTGACCGTATTACCCTATGGCAAATGGTTATTTTGCATCAGTACCCTGCAATCGAAGACAACTAATAAAATCTTGACATTCAACTAAGCTTTTTCGGTCTGAGCTCATGTGGCAGCTTCCATTAGGACGACTGAGCTTTGCTTTTCACTCATAATTATAAACCAATGATTCGTTATTAGTTATCACTCTCTGGATAAAATTTTTGGTTGACTCGCAGTGAGTCTAACATCTCCTGAGTAACGTAAACAGAATTCTAGTTTCAGACGAAATGGAGCAATTTTGTCATAAATTTTACGGTGATTCGTCCTATGCCTTAACTGTTAGTTAAAATTAAACAACACAAGCCAATCAAAAAAATTTGATCCTCAGCAACTTTTTTTCCATTGACTTGACGATTGGCAAATGATATTTTCTTCACTGAATTGGTGTATTTGTATGTTAATACTGTAATCTAATGGTCAAAACGCTCTCGGTCATTCAATACCTTTTGAAAAGACCTTGTAATATCGTATACATAGCTAAGCTTATACTTTAAATAACCCAGACGGCATCCACAAATCATGAAGAATTCTTTATGAATTCACCAAGGAACTTGTTTTTGTATTTGCAAAGTGTTCCTAAAGTGTTCTTAGAGTATTCCTATAATATTGAACTTACGTTCCCTCTTTTGAATTCTTTACAAATTCATCAAGAGTTCTTTTTTTTAAAATCTTAATCCATAAAGAGTTCTTAAAGTATTCATTTTGATCCCATGGTACTTGAAAATTAAACTTAAATGAAAAATTATTTCGTTAACAAGTCAGTTTTCTTCTGTACACACTGACTCACTCAGGCTACAGATATACATTAATATCGGAAAAAAAGTCTGCAGACAAGTGGAATCGAACCTAGGGAGCTAGAGCCCGCGTGTGACACAAACACGCTTCACCACTCGACTATCGAGGATTCGGAAATTCCCTAACTTTAAACACCTACATAAACTATTTACAAAAACTGTGATTCTTTGTTATTTTAGTTTCCTCTTATGATTAAAAAATTTCGTGAAAAATCTCTCTGCTCTTCTCGCTTATGGACAACGCTATCTTATAACTTTTTATTACACGCCCACTTATCTCTACATATTATCGTACGATCTGGATTATGTATTATTGTAAGTACATGATCTTATAATGCAAATTATAAAATAAAGTCTTCGGACTTGTAATAATAATTATTTTTAACACAAATAAATACCAAATTGAGATTGCAAAATAAATCGTATAATCATAGCGAGCTTCTATATTTAAAACAAGCTTCGGAGCTTCACCATAAACATGAGACTCCCAGTGCTTCCGTAGCTCAGGTGGCTCGCACGCATGTCTATCGTTTCGTTTTTGCATTCTCGGGTTCAAATCTCAGCATATAAGATGACTTATTTTTTTGTTTCAGTGGTCTAACTGGTTATTCTGTATTTTGTACTCAACAAACTCTTTTATTATTGATACTTATGCAGATATTTAAATTTAAATTAAATATTAAATACCTTAAAAAATTTTATTTTCATTGTCAAATGAGCTCCAGATTGTATTTTTGTATCTTATACATACTTCTTCATTTAACTTTTATTCGATTCATGTTAATAAGTTTTTTGCTACTTCGAGAAAAAAATATTAAATAGGATGTCGTATAAAAATTTTCCTTATAACTTAATAATAATTCTTCAGATTTATTTTGAATTTTAGCGATAGCTTATTTCGTGTCGTTTTAGTTGTTAAAAAGTAAAGCAGTGTTAAAAAACAATAAAAAATTCATGCACAAACGAAAAAAGTCTCAAAATGGTATCTAATTTAAGTTTCATTCATTTTTTGTAGCAACAGGCGAAAATCAATTAAGAAGTTCACCATAATAAACTTTTACTACCTTATTCAATATTTAATTTTTACTTACGTGTCAACCTAATTAATAGTAATAGAAGACTTCAAGAAAAAAAAGTTAATAAATAATTAATAAGGCCTTCAAAGTGATTTTTAAAAAATCAGACCACATGGACGAAGAGTCGAGTCCAAGAATGCAAAAACGAAACGACGAACTTGCATGCGAGCCATCTGCGTTATGGGGAAGCTGTGTAAGCTACAGTCAAAAGTCACTTATATTGATAACAAAGCTCCCAAGCTTGTCCTAAACATATCTGGGGCTCGTTGGAATTATTATATTTATTTTGCAATCTCAACTTGGTATGTGTTCGTATTGATAATAATTTCGATTACACGTGCAAAAACTTTAAATAATAATTTTCATCGTCCCAAGAAAACTCTGTAAAATGACATCACCGTAACTGCAACCTTTCTC